ATTAATATTATACGCCAGTCCACATTAATAATAAAACCACATTAGTATAACTGGACTACTTTTGCGCGCAGGTGTCGTGTAACTATAGTGCGGTCAAAAATTTGTGGCGCAACTTTTCCTCAAATACACTGTATCTCTTTAACGGGAGAATCAATGTCACCCATTTAGTTAACTTTTTTAAAAAGTGAACATATGAATGAAAAATACAGTTTCCTATTTAAATGTCACAAGGGAAAGTTTAACTCGATTTTTAAAATACTAGTAGGCCTACATGTATTCATCATTTGTTTGACTGAATTTGCTTTATCAAGAGCTTCATTGCCTTCCTACACCTAAAGGATGAAAAACTCTAGAATGTTTTTCCTATGGTTCTTCCTGATTTAATTTAACGCCAAACTCATATGAAGGGGGGGGGGGGGGGTAGTATTGGGATTCGGGAGGAGAGATGGGTGGGGTGGTTATGGGATGTTCCCATGACACCCACATCTTTTCATACTTCTTTTTAAAAGTTCTATAGGCCCTATATGATTTGATTCAGTCAATAAGACATAAACCACGTCGTAGATTAAGTGCTGAGGAAGAAATAAAGGTGTTTTTTTCTTCTTTTTTTAAAAGCCTATTTCTCTATCTCTATCTATTTAATAATACATTTATGTGTAGATCTAGTTGTAGAAAGAACGCTGTATTATTGCTTTTTTGTAATTTAGATATAGATTTTCTAGTGCGCCTCGGCGCCCATGTAAAAAAATAAAAATAAACAAGAACCAAGCCTCGCCTATCGCGTATGAGAGAGAGAGAGAGAGAGAAAACATGCCTAGCCCATTGCTTTATCATGAACTCCTTCACACAACTTGCCACAAAAAACATGGCGGACGCCGCTGTCAAATGTGGCCGTCGCGCAGCAAGGCGAGAGAGGGGCGTGCTGTATCTAGTGCGTTTAGTGTACATCTATGTCCCCCGTGGAAAGCAGACACTGCGCTACGTCAGAACTTCAAAGTTGTATCTGCTCAGTAACTAGCTTTTTTAATTTTTGAATTTCAGAATGATAATACGTCAAGATTTTTCGAATGCAATTCTTTGAATATCTTGATGCCGACTCCGAATATTCTTACGACAAATTTGATAGAGCATTTAAGGCATTTACTTTCTGAAATCACGGTCTCAGTTACTCAATACGGTCGAAAAAATGGTCACGTAGAGCTTTGTAATTTTGAGGTAGCGACTGGTACACCCCAGACGTCGTTCGGCCTATCTCAGAATTATAATAAACTTCTATCTGACGTATTGGCCTTTTTGAGTTACCATGACAAGAATGTCAGAAACCAATCTATCTGCTATATCAAAACCGTATCAAGATACGGTATTCAAAGAACACCGTAGGAAAAATGTTTGACGTGTTGTGAAACTCAAAATTATTGACGCGAACTTTCTCCAAACTAGATATAGATATTGAGCAGATGGAACTTTGTAATTCTGAAGTAGCGACTGGTACACTTCAGACGTCACTCGGCCTATCCTTCAGAAGGGAGGGACAATTCTGGAAAACCCGGAACACCGCTCCACAGAGCACCTCAACAGAACGACGCCATCAAGACAACAATAGTGCCCTTGGACACGGCCAGACTCCTGTCCGTCACATTATCTCACCATCGTCAAGGGTCTGTTTTCATGTCCTATGTTGTTTGTTTTTAGTTTTGTAGGAGTTTTACGGCACTTGCAACACAAGAAGGTCATGTACGTGCAGATTTTGTTTGTTTTTTAAGTATCATCAAGAACAACAAAAACACAGGACCAAAACACAAGGCGTCTTTTGATTTACATTCAGCACTGTGACCTGATCGTGGGAGGTCGCAGCCTTCAGCCAGGCTGTAGTTGTCCTGACCAGTCAGCTCTGCCCGCGAGAACGTCAAGAACCCAATGACATAGATAGAATGGTAAGGCAAAGTAGTCAGACTTGTCCAGTAAGACAATTATTTTTAGGCTATGGCTGTCTGTCAAACCTGCGCAGTAAGTTGAGTAAGGTAGTCTCTCTGGCTGTCTGTCAAACCTCTCCATTTAGTCAGACATTTAGACAAATCGTTGCAAATGGTTAGTTTAGATGTTACGGCACTTTATTTCAGGGGGGGGGGGGAGAGGAGCAGACTTCCGGTAGAGGATGTGACGCGAAACGGGAGTGCTTCTATAAAAATACCTAGTAAGGCAATATGGCTGTCTCTCAGACCTGTCCAGTAAGACAATATGGCTGTCTCTCAGACCTGTCCAGTAAGACAATATGACTGTCTCTCAGACCTGTCCAGTAAGACAATATGGCTGTCTCTCAGACCTGTCTAGTAAGACAATATGACTGTCTGAGTCAGCTGGACATCTTGAGAAATGCTATTGTAATGTAGAAAAATACTTTTTTTTTAAAAAGAGGGGGTGTATGAAGAGATAGTTTGTACACGTGATTGTCTTGGGCAGGTTACCGTTAAAACAGCTAGAGCAGGTTCGACTGTAGTCTCTGTCTGTACGCTCCTCTGGAAGCTGAAATTGTTTCAGAATGCTATCAGTTCTGCTGGGATAATAATATCGATTATAATGTGCATAGAGCTTGCTGTTGAGAGGGAATTTGCGCTATACGAATACTATCTATTATTATTAGGCTAAGTCAGTGGGATTTTGTTGTTGTTTGTTGCTGGTTGTTGTTGTTTGTTTTTTTTGGGGGGAGGGGAGGGGGGCGGTTCTGTAAGTGTTTTACGGCGCTCGCAACTTCATACGGTCATATGAGCGCGCGGGACATATTAAACGTTTTCAGTTGGTAGGAAATTTAAGTAAGTGTTGTGGTTGCGTCGTTGTCCCCTCTCAACCGTCAACACTATCGACCACACAATGCAAGCGACAGTTACCTGATCTCGCGGAGACCTCTGTGTTTACAAAACATAGCCCTTCCTTTCGCACTCTCAAAATCATTTTTTACAAAAAAATTATCTCACCCATTCAAACTTGGTGGATTAGATGAAGGAAATCTACAACCTACCTTTATAGATTTTTAGAAAACATCGAGATATGTAGAAACAAAATCAGTAAGTGAAAAGAGGGGAGGGGTACGGGGTAAGGTATGCAGGAAGGCGGGGAAGAGTGTTATCGGTGTAGGGTATTGGGAGGGGGGGGGTATATATAACAGGAATTTGTTTCCTTTTTTTAGTCCAACAAGAGAGCCCGAGAGAGTGTGGGGCCAGGATGTTAAGGGATTAAAGAAAATGATTTTTTGGCACAGGCTCAACTGAAAGTTCAGTCTTTTCTCAACACATTCGAGTACAAAAAGAAGAAATCTGTTTACGGAACACAAAACAAACAAAACAATAAAATAACAAAGACTAGAGCAAGAAAAACAAAGCAATCTTCTTCTTCTTCTTCTCGATCGCATCAAAACAAAGCAATAAAACAACCCCCAAAAACTAGGACACCAGACAACAAAAAAAAGCAAAAACTAGAACAACAAAAAAGTAGCAATAAAATAAAGCAATGAAACAACAAAAACAAATACACAAGATGAACAAAGGAACAGACCACCCACAGGACATCAAAACAACAAATTCTAGAACAAAAGAAAAAACAAAGCAATAAAATATACCAATAAAACAAAGCAATAAAATAACACAACCTAGGACACCAGACAAACAAAGCAACAAAAACCATCCACCAGGCACCAAAATAACCACAGCGTGAACCAGAAAACCCCATTTTCGTTTGAGGTGGGCAAAATCCGGATAAATATCCGGATAATCAAATAATCCTCAATAAGACGTTATCCGAATTCAGACTCTCAACTCTTTTTCTTGGCCCGTCAGCCGAAGTGGGTGCACCAGCTTGTTATAGTGATGCTAACCCATTTCTCAAAGTGGTTCTCACCCATTTGCCGAATCGGTTCATAACATATTATTCACCGAAGAGGTGCCCTAACATATGAACCGGATTTTGCTAAAGCGACTCATTGCCCAGCCCTAATTTTTGTCCCCCATCCCCCATCCCCCACCCGGCCCCCAGGAGGGCTCGGAGATAGTCGGTGTGGTGTGCGCCGTTGCCGTGTTCCTGGAGCTGTGGACCAACGCGTTCTACAACTACGGCCACCACCGGCTGTACCGGAAGTGAGAGGCCACGCCGGAGGTCACGTGAGGAAACTAACGCACCTGTCACGTGGTCACAAGGGGCGTCACGTCGTAGAGAAAGAGAGAGAGAGAGAGAGGGAGAAGGAGAGTGAGAGAGGCAGATAGAGCGAGACGAGGCAACCACCACCAACGCTAAAGGTGTGGTGTTCGTTTCTATGTGAGCGTGTTCAAGGTTCGTCCCTTTGGCTTTGGTCATCCAGTACTCTTTTAGACGCCCTGGGCACGTGTACACACATACACACACACATACACGCACACATACACACACACATACACACACACATACACACACATACACACACACACACACACACACACATACACAC